AACGTTTTTCCTCTCAGCATGACGTCCTGTCGTCCACGTCGCAAAATGCTTGGCAGGAATGGGATGCGGCGCACACCCCGCGCCCGCCCATCCAAACCCCCCCTTTATAAAAAAACAGTACAAGTTGGGGACTTCAGGCTTCCTGCGGTGTACCGGGCCATTCTCGACTCGTCTGGCAATGCGTGCGCGGCATTCAACACGCGCTCGCCAGTTCCCGTCGGCAACCGCCCTCGCGGCCGCATCAGCTGTACCAAACCGGCTGGCCGGTGTGACTTCGGCCCCCAGTTGTGCCAGCTTTGCTTCTTATGTTGTGGGAGGGCGGGTGGGACTGGGCATGCCATGCTTGACTCGCTCGAGCTGGCTAGCTTGACTCCTATCCTTATTCCTTATTAGAAAATACTCCTACTCCCCCCTCAGGCCGGCCATTAGGGGCCGCATCCGGGTGGTCCCATCCTAACTTGTAAAAAACAATACAAAATCAACATTTTTCTTATTTTTTCCTCTCGACATGGACGTCTTGTCGTCCACGGCGATAATCCATTGCAAAAAATACAACAAAGAGCACACGCGCGCGTTCATGTCAGAATCCTACCGAACACCTTGTGTTTGCAAGCATTTCAACATAAAAACATCAAAACCCAATGCTTTTTCACAAAAATTGTACAAATTTCCCGCCCGGGCTCTCTTGCTGAAATCATAGGAAAACCATAGGAATCTTAAGAATTCTGTCAAATCCAGCGATTTCACGTCATCGCGCGGTGCACTCGCGATGCTCTGTCAGGCACCCAGGCCGCGAATCCTGTGCAAAAAATACCACAAAGAGCACACTCGCGCGTTCATGTCAGAATCCTACCGAACACCGTGTGTTTGCAAGCATTTCAACATATAAACATCAAAAACCCAATGTTTTTTCACAAAAATGCTTTGGGGTGTCCTGACAGACCGTCGGGCTTCCTCCGGCCACCTCTGGCTTCCTGCGGTGTACCGGGCCATTATCGACTCGTCTGGCAATGCGTGCGCGGCATTCAACACGCGCTCGCCAGTTCCCGTCGGCAACCGCCATCGCGGCCGCATCAGCTGTACCAAACCGGCAGGCCGGTGTGACTTCGGCCCCCAGTTGTGCCAGCTTTGCTTCTTATGTTGTGGGAGGGCGGGTGGGACTGGGCATGCCATGCTTGACTCGCTCGAGCTGGCTACCTTGACTCCTACTCCTACTCCTACTCCTATCCTTATTCCTTATTAGAATATACTCCTACTCCCCCCTCAGGCCGGCCGATAGGGGCCGCACCCGGGTGGTCCCATCCCAACCTGTAAAAAACAACACATTCTTTTTTTTATATAAAAAAAAAAAAAAAAAAAAAAAAAAAAAAAAAAAAAAAAAAAAAAAAAAAAAAAAAAAAAAAACCCTCCCTCGACATGGACGTCCTGTCGTCCACGGCGATAATCCATTGCAAAAAATACCACGAAGAGCACACGCGCGCGTTCATGTCAGAATCCTACCGAACACCGTGTGTTTGCAAGCATTTCAACATAAAAACAACAAAAACCCAATGCTTCTTTTCACAAAAATTGTACAAATTTCCCTCCCGGGCTCTCTTGCTGAAATCATAGGAAAACCATAGGAATCTTAAGAATTCTGTCAAATCCAGCGATTTCACGTCATCGCGCGGTGCACTCGCGATGCTTTGTCATGCACCCAGGCCGCGAATCCTGTGCAAAAAATACCACAAAGAGCACACTCGCGCGTTCATGTCAGAATCCTACCGAACACCGTGTGTTTGCAAGCATTTCAACATAAAAACATCAAAAACCCAATGCTGTTTCACAAAAATGCTTTGGGGTGTCCTGTCAGACCGTCGGGCTTCCTCCGGCCACCTCTGGCTTCCTGCGGTGTACCGGGCCATTCTCGACTCGTCTGGCAATGCGTGCGCGGCATTCAACACGCGCTCGCCAGTTCCCGTGGGCAACCGCCATCGCGGCCGCATCAACTGTACCAAACCGGCTGGCCGGTGTGACTTCGGCCCCCAGTTGTGCCAGCTTTGCTTCTTATGTTGTGGGAGGGCGGGTGGGACTGGGCATGCCATGCTTGACTCGCTCGAGCTGGCTAGCTTGACTCCTACTCCAACTCCTACTCCTACTCCTACTACTACTCCTACTCTCCTTCCCCCTCCTCTCCCCCTCCTCCTCCTCCTTTTCCTCCTTCTCCTCCTCATCCTCCTCCGTCGCCTCCTTCTCCTGCTCCCGCTACTGCTAGATGACCCGCTACTGCTCCCGCCTCCCCTACCTTCCTACCTCCTCCTCCCTTCCTCCACCTTTTCCTCCTCCTCCTTCTCCTCCTCTCTCCTCCTCCGCCTCAGTCCTTCCTCCTCTCCTCCTCATCCTCCTCCTCATCATCATCATCAAGCATCAGCAGAGCAACCATCCAACACACATCATCATCACATACCTCCTCCTCCTTCCTCCTTCCTCCTCCTCATCCTCCTCCTCCTCCTCTCCTCTTCCTCTCTCCTCCTGCTCTCTCCTCCTCCTCCTCCTCCACCTCCGCCTCTCTCATCCTCCGCCTCCTCCTCCTCTTCCTCCTCCTCCTCCTCATCCTCGTCCTTCTGCTCCTCTTCCTCCTCCTCCTCTGTCATCCTCTGTCCTCCTCTGTCCTCCTCTCTTTTCCTTCCTCCTCATCCTCCTCCTCCTCCTCCTCAGCATCATCATCAGCAGCATCAGCATCAACATCATCATCATCAGCATAATCAGCATCATCATCAGCATCACCACCATCCTTTTCCTCCTCCTCCTCGTCCATGGCGCCAACGCAGCGCGCCGCCGCCCAGGAGGCCGCGTCGTCGCCGCAGGGGGCGGCGCTCGCCTGGGCCCTCGTGGCGGCGCCCCGCCTGGCCGCGGAGCTCGCAGAGGACGGCGTCGCGGTGATCACGGCTGGCGCGGGCGCCACGGCCGCGCCCCCCTCCTCACTCTTCTTTATTCCCTCCTCCTTCCTCCCTCCCTCCTCTCCCCTCCTCTCTCCTACTCTCTCCTCCTCTCATCTCCTCCCCTCTCCTCCTCTCTCCTCTCTCCTCCTCCTGCACTCCTCCTCCTCCTCCTCCTCCTCCCCTCCTCTCCTCTACGCCTCCTCCCCCTCCTCATCTCCTTTCCTCCCCTCCTCCTCCTCCTCCTCCTCCCTCCTCCTCCTCCGCCTCCTCCTCCTCCTCCTCCTCCTCCTCTCCTCCTCCTCCTCCTCCTCCTCCTCCTAGGTGGCTCTCGCGCGGGCCTCGCAGGCATTTTGCCCTCGGCGCGGGCGCCCGCCGAGCGATAGCCCCTAGCCCCACGGAGGGGCGACCCCGCGCTGCTGCAGCGCGCTCCCGCTCGCCAGCCTGGCACCGCAGGGAGCGGCGCCAGCGGAGCGCGACCAGAGACCGCACGGCAGTGCCGCCCCAGGATGCAGGCGCCCACGACATGGACCACCTGCAAGCGTTGCAAGGAGTGGTCGTGGCACGCCACGCTCGAGAGAAACGACTACTGGTACAACTGCCGAGCCCGCGTCGCCAGCCCCAAGAAGGGAGGCGGCCAAGAATCCAGCAGCAGCAGCGGATGGTGGCGACAGCAACCCATCGGCAACGGAGGCGCGAGCTCAGCTGCTGGAGGCAGAGGTCGCTGGCAGGACAACGACGCCACCTCGGACGCCTCCCCCACCGAGCAGTGCGTCGCCAGGCTCGCCACAGCGCTGCGGACGGTGACAGAGTCCATCGGCTCGCTGAAGCTGCCCAACGGCGAGGACATCGCGAAGCAGCTGACGCACGCGGCCGACACGCTCAACGTCCCCGAGAAGAATAAGCCGCCCAAATCCAAGGCAGCGCGCCTCGCGGAGGCGGCGAAGGCGCTCGACTCCGCGACCCGCACCTACAATTGGGCGTACGAGCAGACGGTGCTGGCCGAAGCGAAGGCGACCAAGGCCCGCGAGGAGTTGCAGGAGTGCGCGGACGCAGTCGTCAACGCCGAGGCCGAGATCGAGGCCATCCAGAACGAGGACAAGCAGAAGGCGCCGAAGAGCATATTCGAGCAGCTGCTGGACACGGACGCCGACCTGCTTTCGCCCAGCGACGTGCAGATCGCCGAGGTCGAGGACGAGTTCCACCAGGACGAAGACCTCGACGCCGAGGGCAAGAAGGCCGTGGTCGAGGCCAAGAGACAGGTGCTCGAGCAGCTGCAGCGCAACACCAGGGAGTTCGCCGTCCAGCTGCAGCAGCACCTCCAGGACGCCAAAGCCAAGGCCGAGCAGGAGCGGGCCGAGATCCAGCAGGCCTACAAGAAGCGGAAGGCGGAGCAGCACACGACGGGACAGGCCGCAGACGAGCCAACCGCCGCTGCTCCACCAACCGCAGGTGCCTCTGGATCTGCGGCCCAGCACGACAACGACGCCCACGACAGCAAGGTGCCAACCGCTGCGGAGGACTACCTCCGACAGCGGCGGGACGCGGCGGCCTCAGCCGAGGCCTCCGCATCCCGCTGAAGGTCAGGGCGCGGTGGGGGACGGCAGTTCGGCGACGACTCCCACCACGAGCGCCGCATATTCAGCGCCAACACGACCTAGGGCCCCACGGTGTTGAGCTGGCCAAGACGAGACGGAGTACGGCAGCCCTACGACGCCCACGCCATCCAGGAGACCCACTTGCCCCAGGCCCAGCTCGCGGACACGGAGCACTCGTTGCAGAAGATGGGCTTCTCCGCAGTGTTCACCGCGGCGCGCGCCAGCACGAACAGCCCCAGTGGAACTTGTGGAGGCACCGGAGTCCCCACCATGGGCCACCTCAAGGCAACGACACACCGACATCGGGGAGGACGTACCAGCGTCTCGGACGCCACCACCTACGACGCAGACGACACCCACGCCACCTACCGCATGTGCGACTGGATGCCAGTCACCCTGCACTTGCGAGGCTCCCAACTCCTCATCATCTCCCTCTGCCTCGACCCGTGTCATTCCCTCAACTTCGGCGAGGGTTCCAGGAAGCTGGCGCCCCTGGCCGCCTTCCTCGCCGCCGCGCACACGCCGTGGATCATCTGCGGCAACTTCAATCGCTCCTACGCCGACCTGGTGCAGTCAGGCTGGACCACAGCCCCCGGCGCCACCGCCTACGCGGGACTCGTCGACAACCAGCGCACGCGCTACCTCGGCGACGCGAAGCCCTCCAACATCGACTACGCGCTCGCCAACGAAGGAGGACAAAGATTCGCACGAGGAATACAACCAGTGCACGACGTACCATGGAAGCCGCACATCGGGACCGATATCACTATTCGAGCGGGCACAGACTCCAGCCTCGCCCGAAGATTGCAGATGCCGAAGGCTTTCCCGCGCCCTGCCCCACCCACCAAGCAGCCAACCACCGCCAAACGCCAACAGAAGAAGCGCCCCAAGACTCAAGCAACGACACCCCCACAGCCATCACACGACCAAGACCAGACCGACGCCAGCCGCTGGGAAGCTCTTGGACCGCAAGGTTGGCACCACCACCCACGAGACACCACAACCACAACGACATCGACCCCGACAGTCACACAACAGCCGCAGCACCGTCGAACCACCATGGATGGGGAAGACCAGGACCCTATGAAGGAAGACGACGCTGCGGACTACCTCGACGAATTCGAACCCGAACACGACGGCCACGACCCACACTTTTCCCACGCCGTCATCGACAACATGCATGATTCGGAGGTGTGCACACATGTTGCAGCAGAAGCTCAAAGGGCCCACGCCAGCGACATGGACTACACCAACGACCACGAGAATTCAGCGCTGCCCAACGACCTGGACTGCGACGAAGCTCAAAGGGCACCCGAGCAGAAACCATTACTTGAGCAGCTCACCGAGCGAGCAAACGGCACCGACACCAGGACGCCCGACGACATCTGGACCGCTGCCAGCATGCTCGACCACGGACCCAACAGCCCAGCCCCCACATACATCCGACAATGCTCAGCGTACAAAACTGATCCGACCAGCGCAGATCTGCCTGACGCAACCTACCAGCACTTCATCAGCACGCTCGAGACGTTCTTCTGCCTCGCCTAACTCATCCCCTTAGAAGAACGACAACACTTCCGAGGACGGGGGCGAGGCTATGCATTCAAGGAACAAGCACTACGAGAACTAGGTGACCACCAACTCAGATACGCATCCCACAGATCCGACTGGTGGAGCCGCGTGGAGAACGTCCGCAGCACCCTCGCTAAACTTCGCCAACGCGGCCGCGGACAACAGCAACAACTCAGCCCACATGAAGCAGGACGCCGTCTAGTACGCGAAGGTCTACCACCACTCGGACGAAACGCATCACCCACCGCCCAGCTCCACCACCAGCTATGGAAGGATAGACTAATGCACTTAGACGCTCTGCCCCTACAGACCCTACAGGGCATGGCCCAACAAGCTTTCAGCGAAAAGGGCCAAGCCCTACTTTCGGACCTCCGACAAAACCACCGCGAGCACAGCAATTGGCTAGCCACCGCCTGCAAAACACCAGTCATCCTCCACAAGATCACCAAGCCACCACCACGACGCGAACACGAAGTGGTACACCAGGGCAGGGCACTCAGCAGCCCGCCAGACATCGTCGACGCCAAGGCCGCCGTCTTCAACGACATTTAGACTTGCCACGACGTACCACACAGCCACCACACCTCATTATTATCTGACCCCCGACAACGGGCAGAACGGGAGGAACCACCAGCACCCTGGACCATCGACGATTTTGACCGCTGCCTTCGCGGGGAGCCAAACAAGGGTAATGGCGTTGACGTCATCAGGTGCAGCGACACCAGACGGCTACCACGAGCTGGACGACAAGTCCTTGCCGACCTTTTCCGCCTCTGCGAACAGCACGTGATGTGGCCATGGCAGCTACTGCTCTCCATCGTCATGATCATCCCCAAGCCCAAGAAAGGCGACCGCGCGCTCGCCCCCCATGCCACAACTATTCCGCTGCTGGGAACTACTGCACCGAGACCGCGTCCGACGATGGGCAGTGGACCAGCAACGAGAATGGGACGCCGCCATAGCGGGCAACAGTTGCCCACGCGAAGCACTACGCCGCCCCATCACCGACGAATGCGCCGACACCTTCAACATGACTGAGACCACCCTGCTGGCGGACATCGAGAAGTTCTACGACGGCCTTCGTATCGACAAAACCGTGCCAGCTGCGCTACGACTGCAATTCCCTGCCCGACTGCTATACCTCATGATGCTCCAGCATTCAGCCGCTCGAGTACTACGACGCCGAGGATCCGACTCCAGGACGATCTACGCAGACCGCGCCACCCTGGCAGGCCCCAGGCACGCCAACAACATCGCACGCGCAGCCGTGCACGCCGCCATGGCGACCCTCACACACACCAGCACCCCACCACGACCACTACCTCGAGCATGGTTTGACGACATCAGCATCCGCATAGTAGGCAGCAGAACACACACGACAACCGCCACCGTCGCATCAACGCATCGCTTATTCCTAGCACTACAGGAGCAGGGGCTACGATTGACCGACAAACTACCCTCATGACCACGCACTACAAAGACACCAAGAAGATCCAACAGCAGCTCCGCGACCTCCACATCGACGTCCAAGCAGTCACGGAAGGGCGAGACCTGGGCGCAGATCGTGCAGCACGCGGTACTACTAGACGCTCCACACAACCAACAAGATGGGCAGCAGCACGCCGACGCCGACGCGCAGTCCGTGGCAAACTACAACGACCCCGCACATCCACCAAAGCCAGCCTGGCGAACCAGGGCGCGATGGCCTCCGCGAAGTACGGCGTCGCTTTCCACGGCCTGGCCCCCACTGCGCTACGCGCAGCACGACGCCAATACGCCCAAGCACTACGCCGCTTTTGGCCTGTACGCTGCCCCACCACATTCCTGGACCTGGAAGGGACCGACCCCGCCTACACCTTCGCGAGCACGCAGTTTTCCAACTGGTTCGGATGCTGGACGCACGGCCCAGATCTGCGTGCGCAAACCAGACGCGCCTGGCCCATAATCTACTTCCGACTGCTCAAGGTACTGGCTCACTGCCGCTGGAACCAGAGACGCGGCCCCATCGCAGCCATCATCTTGGCGTTGTGGGAGCTCGGTTGGGACTCCCGCGGACCAGACCACTGGATCGACAGCGCAGGCAACGACTGGGAGTCTCCCCACGAGGACGCCCAAGACACCAAGGACATCCTAGACGCCATCATGCACGACGCAAGGCAGCAGCTCTGGAGGACCGCAGCGACCCACTTCCACGGCGGAGGCCTCGAGCACAACGGCGCTGACACCACAGAGCCCAAGCGACACCTGCAATGGCCCCGAACACACGGCAAGCACCGCGAATACGGAGCACCCCTCACCGCTGCCTGCGCGGGAACGTGGACCCGCACTAAGCAGCAGACGACACTCGGCCATGGCAGCCACCTATGCGAATGCGGGCAGCCAGGCACCGACTACCACCGCATCTGGGAACGATGCAGCTGCCTAGGAGACGGCGACATCTACGGCAAAACCGACAGGCTGCAAGCCCGCGCTGCCGCGGGACACCAAACCACCCCAGCTTTCTTGCTCAGAGGCACCACCCCACGAGATTGGTCAGTACCACCAGAAATCGACACAGCCGAGTCAGCATCCAACATGGGGGGCTCACCCAAGCCGACAAGATCTGCACCAACGACGGGACGCCCTTGGTAATCTACGGCGACGGCTCAGGCGGGGTGCACTCCTCCGACTGGCGTTACCGAGGATGCGGATGGGCGTGGCTAAGACTTGGCAGCACACACGACGGCGGCGTCAATGCTACGGCAGCACGATGCGGTCCACTACCCCCCCCCCCGACGACAAACGAACAATCGGGCAGAACTCTGGGCACTACTGGATGCGACCAAGCACATCACTGGCGCCATGCACTCCTGACGGACAGCGAGATCGCATTCAAGGGATGGCGAAAACCGACGGCACCAACTACAGCCCCGCACGGGCAGCAACGACGACCTCTGGGAGACCATCGGCAAAGAGCTTGCGCACCGCGACGGGCAAGGGCCAGCTCACACCGAAGCCCACCAACTCAACAGCCACCTGACCTGGGAGGAAGCGCAAGGCCGAGGTCCCCCACTACATGCATGGTTTGGAAACGCACAAGTGGATCGCCTTGCAGAGCAAGCCGCCGCAGAGCACCAACTGGGCGCGGGCCAGCCCGGTTGCTACCAGTGGGTCAACGCCGCCGCCCGCCCTCATCCGCAAGCGCATTACCGCCGCCAAGATTGACGCCATCGACAGACGCCCATCAGAAGCACACGAAGTACGCGCTGCACGACGAGCTCAGCAGCAAGAGCACCGCAAGCAACCCAGACGAAGATGGGATTATTTCGCAGGTGGACCACCACACCCAGTTGGCAGGCGCCCACCTACCACCCACAACCTGGCCAGGCCCCGACGGGGAAAGGGCTGGGTGTTCACCTGCTGCACACAGCGTGTCGGACGAGACACCAGCTTCGCAGCAATCCGAGATTGGTTCCAACAACAATGCACTGGACCACCACCGCGACAAGGACGAGCTATCACCCAGCACGGACGCATTGCTCACGACAGCCACGAGCTGATGTTCATCCGAGCGGAATCCCGCTGGGTATGCCGCCACTGCGGTGCCTCCACCACCGAGTATGTTTCGGAGAAGATGCGCACGGAATGCACACGCCGCACTGGATACCGCAGTTGACACTACAAGCTCCTGAGATGGACAGACCCCGCCGACAACGACCAGGACGGACACGACGAAACCAGCACAGCCACCAGCCAGGAGCGACGCGACCCAGCACCTGACAGCGACCAAACCAGCACAACGCCCAGCGACGGCATCCACGAGCCACCCGAGATGCAGACCAGCGAACCCCCACAGACACCACCAAGGACGCAAGCCGTTTGCTGCAACGGCGTGGAGGGGGGGGGGGGGACGAGTACCCCCCGCGTCCACCAGAAGGGGCGGTCAGGGGACGTCAGCGAGGAGATGCATTTGAAGGCCCTCGCCCGCGCTCCCCGACCGCTCCACAGCAGCCCTACCACTTCCAGGACAAGCTGATCGAGCAGCCACCACTCCAATGCGACGAGCAGCAAGCCTGCGTGCAACAACCTCAGCGACCCACGACAGCCGAAGCGACTGCATCGTG